AAGGAGAAGGAGAAGGAGAAGGAGAAGGAGAAGGAGAAGGAGAAAGGGAAAGAGAAGGAGAAAGAGAAGGAGAAAGAGGGAGAAAGAGAAGGGAAGAAGGGAGAGGGGATAGGTGTTCCCAGCTACGAGCAGGGAGAGGGGTGTGCCTGAGTGTTACATTCAGGAACACCCCAAAAGGGCAGAGAAGGAAGAGGGGAAGGGTAAGGGGAGAAAGGGGGTTAAGGTCCCGACAGACTCCACTGAGCCTTGAACAAGCTTCGGCTGCTGCGGCCACGGACGCCTTGCCAAAATGGCTGGCTGCTCTGACCGCTATGGTCACCTAAAGGCATGCCGGAAACGGCCAGCTTAGAATTCAATAGTTCAGCAAGTCTTGACAAATAACTTTGGCATAAGCTACCTACGCTCGCAGCGAACTGCTCTGTGTCCAAGCGGGGGGTACGTTCGACAAACCCCCGTTCAACGGGTCCACAGGGGCCACTCGTCGGGGTCACCCTGGGCCCTCACGAGGAGAGACACACTTATAGAAATGGTGTACGGACATCGATGCGGCTTGCCACACGCGAACCTGGGTAAAAGGATTGCCCAAGTAAAACGGCAGAGGTAGGTTGGAGGCCATCGCTAGGGGAGCTGGAAGCCATCGCCCAAGTTTGGAGGCCATCGCTAGTAGGTTACGCGCACAAACTGAAAGCGACACCAAGCAACAAGGTTGGAGGTCATCGCTAGTGGGTTGGAGGCCATAGTACCAGGTTAGAGGCCAGCGCTACAAGTTGACAAGACGCAAGCTCAAAAGCAGCATCGCAACAACAAGGTTGGAGGTCATGTCTAGTGTGCTGGAGGCCACTGCACCAGGTTTGAGGCCAGCGCTACTAGTTCACAAGACACAAACTCAAAAATTCAAAAACACGTCCCCCTAGGTGCCAAAGTTTAGAAAAAGGCAGGTACATCGGTGGGCGTCTCCACCGATATCACCAGCACACATCCAGTGTCTTCGTTGGTGCAAGACTGGATGGGCTGCTTGTAGTGATTCCAAGGGTTCCACACACACACACATGCAGCCCACGCACACCTCCAGGCAGCAACAAAAACCGACCTGGTATAGCTCTGCAATCTGGGGGTGTTGGAGGCCGGCTTCCACAGCAATCCCAAATCATTCGTTTAAAGAGCTGCCTTGAATTGGGTGTCATGGCTCTGTTTGCCTGATGATATGGTATTTATCACAAGGGGGATAAGGCAAATGACTTGGGAAGGTGTGAGTTCCCATGTATGTTTTCTAGATCCCGTGTCATCTGAAGGTAGTATAATTGAAATATGTCGGGGTCTCAGACTAGGAACCCCACATGGCATGCCCCGCCACATTCCGAAGAACCTGCCAACGACCCACCCACCCCGTGTTTTTCACAAGATCGAACAACCGCCCAGCAGCCTCTGGGGACTGCTCCACAATTTTCCTCCACTTATTCAGAAATTTGACATAGCAAGTGCTATAGTCGTGTTTCTTCCCTGACATGCGATCACTCCCCATGCCTTGGATCGGAATTCGCCAAAGAAAAGCGAAAGCCCAGTGACTCGTGAAAGCCAAAAGAAAAGCCCACTGCATGTACAATCAATAAAAACACCGAAAAGAAAAAACTAAATCTCTGAACACAAGCTAAAAACGGAACAAATTCAAAACCATCAGAGCCGAAAAAACAAAAATTGAAGCAACCTCTACAAAGTTTGCAAGATTGAACCACGAACATTAACGAAACGATGAAAGGAACGAGAAAACCTGAAATGTTAAAAGGGCAACACTGTTTCAAACCAAGCATGTTTTCCGAAACCCGCACCCTTCGTTGACCTAGGTTTTTTTACCGAGGGACCTTGCTTTTGACCCGGGAAACCTTTTTCTTGAGTGGGGGACTGTTGCTTTTCATTGCGCACTTTATGCTCAGCAACTCAACACACGATCGTGTTTTGGACAGCGCATTCCCTGACACCTAAGTCATCCTAAGTCTCTCTTGGTCCCGCCATTTCTTTCTCTCTCTCTCTCTCTCAATTGCGTCAATGTGGTGCGGGCTCTCTCTTTCTCTCTCTCTCTCTCTCTCTCTCTCTTTCTGTCCCTCTCTCTCTCTCTCTCTCTCGGCAGCGTCTGGCTACAACGCAGCCGTCCCACAGGGACACGCTGAGGAAGGACGATGCATTGCTGGACCCGCAGTTGGGCAGGGCGCAGCACAGAGTGGTTGAACACAAAATGGTGAACACTGTATAACATTGTCTGTGCCTGAGTAGTCCTGTTATTACACCACTGCTGTAGTTCAACAGTCGTTCACTCTGCTGCGGCCACTTTTGTAGTCTCAAGCTGCAAAGTGGTCCAAGGCCTGGTAGCTGCGGCACACGCAAGGTGTACATACAAGAGACCTTTGTAATAATGATTGTCGACAAATTGTTTTTTCTCTCTCTCTCTCTTTCTCTCTCCCTCCCTCTCCTGCATGTGTGTCTCTGTGTGTCTGCCTCATCATTCAATCAGAGCTTCAAATGGTTGAAGATGAAAGGTTTCAGGGTAAGAAAAGCGGTTTGCAGGGACAAACCGTCTTAGATCAAAAAGCAATGTGATTAATTAGGTCAAAAATACAGGTTCAATAAACACGAGCCTAGGTACAAAAAACAGGCTGGGTCGGACAAATGCCAGCCTAATCGTCAACACCAAGCATTTTGTCAAAAGCAGCAATATATCTTAAAGCTAGACCTAGGCACAGGTGTGCCCATGAGCGCATTTCACGTTCCGCACGATGCCACCACTGAACTGGAGCTCCGCCGCGGCCAGGGCCTTGCGGAAGACTTCCACATCCTCACTCCTTGCACCGGTGGGCAATCAGTTTGTGAGGCCACCCCCCGAAGCCTTGTTTAAACCCCATGGGGGGGTGAACAATAACAACCCTGCAGTTTCTTGTTTCATGTTGTTCCATTGGGTTGAAGTTGCTACCCCGACAACTGGAGGTCTTGACTTTCAATAGTATGGCCCATATGGCTATGGGCCAAAACCTTTGGAGACCACGGTTTTAAAGAACATGCTTTCGTATGGTTTTTAGGGTACATTTTTTGACCCACAACCATGTTGTTGCATTGGATAGTGCCTATTCTAATGTTTGCGCTGGTGATATCTTTGTTCGATGTTCTTTAGTGGTCACAAAAACTGGCTCTCAAGTGCTCTTGTTGTTGCTAAATTGTGTGTGGTTGTCAGGGTTTGAACTGGCTTTGTGTTTTTCAACTTTTGTAATTTTCTGCGGTTTCTGCGTGCCCTTTAATGATTGATTTCCAGCTGTTGGCGTTTTGGTTTGCCTTTCGTGGTTAGGTTTACGGGCTTTTGCGTTGGCTTCACGGGTTTGATCATTTGTTCAGTAGCTCTCCGGTTCAACAAGGCTGTGAAAAATCGCCTCCACCTGCATGCAACTTGTCGTTGTGATAAGAATGTGTTTGGTGACTTTGGTGGCGCTGAAGGCCGTGATTTTTGTTGTGGTAGTGGGTGGTCACAAAAAGGTTTTGGTCTGATGGTGGCCTTGCTGTTAACCCAAAAGTTGAAAATGTTTTTGGCGTTGTCAACTATGCACACAAAAACATTCAAACGCTCTGGTTGGGTCGACCTGGTCTCCTTGCTGGCTCATCACTTCAAAACGATTTTCATCATCAAGGCCTAACCCCCCCAAAAAAAAAACATCCTTCAATTCTCCAAGGCTCCATCCGTTGCCAAAGAGATCAAAGTCCTCCTGCAACCTCTTACAGCTCTGTTCTGGTTGCTTGGCCTCTGCCTTCTCTGCCTTCCTCAACGGCTCGAAGGACTTATGGGTTTCCAAAACCAAGGCAGCTGCTCCAGCGTTTGAAACTCCATTTTCAGGGATCTCATTCCTCCCAACCCTGGTTTTCGGCAAAGAAACACTAGAAAACTGCAGGATCGACTATTGACTCCTTCTTGCTATTGTAGGACTAGGTGCGCGCCTACAAAAACCTAAACATTTTCAATCGAAGTAACCCAAATAAGTCAGTTTTTCAAACGTATATAGAACTGCTGCCAGGGGGTTGCAGCACTGCTGACGAGTATGCAGAAATGTGCCTAATGCCCTTACCCTAAGAATTTCTTGCGCTGGTAAAAATGTTTTTCGATGAGTAGGTCCCCAAACAAACACGCACAAACGAGGCAACCTAAGTAAGAGACCAAAGAGCCCTGGAGGCCAACTCGGTTGCCAAATGCTTTACAGAAGCTTTAGTTTCCAAGTTGTGCCTTTATGACAAGAAGCTGCTTTTGCACAGTCTCAACTTCCATATCCTTCGCCGCCGTTTCCGGAGCCTGCGGAGCCGGATTCACCTCCGACTTCTCCAACTTCTCTCGGACCTCCGACATCCTCAAGTCGAGCCACTGCGGGTGTGGGGGCCCTCCGTGAGTAACCCCGTTGAACGGGCCCAACAAAAACCGTCAAAATTGACTACCCGAGGGCAGCAACTATGTCCAGACAGGTGCCATTGGGCTTGAAGCAAGGAAAACACATTCGATGAAAAGGAAAGCCAAGCATCAAGGCGGTCATTTCTTGCAGTTTTTCCATCAATTCCTCCCTTTCAGTCACCAAATGCCACACCACACCACACATAAAGACCAGCGCCAACAGGACAACCATAGCCATCGTCCGCATCTTTGGCAAATCGCTGGTTGCGAGGCGCAATCAATTTGACACATTAAACAAAACATAGGGGGAAAAAAACAAAGGATAAGTAAGAACAATGCATGAGTTATAACTACTGGTTTGGCTCTTGAATCTGGATGCAAAACGCTTGCCCTTGCCCCTAGCATTCATTGAAACAACCCGAGACAGAATGCTTTTCAGTCGGAGTGGTTTTGATGGTATTGCTTTTGAAGTTGCTAGAGGTAATGTATGCGAAAAAATTGTGAGAAATGAAGATAGGTGTGAGAAAAAAAACACAATCCTTTTATCTTTATCAATGAATGAATCAACTTTGTATAATCAGGCTCGGAAGTGATTCATTGATACCCATTGGTTTGCAGCTGCGCTTCCAATGAACTTGAGAGGAGGAAGACACGAAAGGTAGGACAGCGGGAAGAGAAGAGAACGCGAGAGGCAGGAACAAAAATGCAATGTTCGACATAATGATTTATCCCCTCGGAGGCGACCGTTCGTAAATATATGTTCATATGCACTCTAAATGTTCAAACATATGCTCTCGAAATGTTCAAAGGTTCTTAGGAAAACAAACTTGCCCCATGGCTCAGATCATCGGTGAGCATTGACTCGGAACATCATAGGATTTGAACTATCCTGAAACCATAAGAGGCTCACGAAGACGCTCCCCGGGAGAGAATTGACGTGCTTCACAAAACAAACTCTAGGTATGTATCCCCTCGGGGAACACCTTTCGTGATTAGAATTTCATATTCACTCTTTCTAAATGTTCAGGAGGGTTTCAACTATCCTGAAATCATGAGAGGCTCACGAAGACGTTCTCCAGGAGAGAATTGATTTTAGAGGGGGGGAGGGGGAGAGGGGGTGGTCTGTATTGAAAAATAAATTCCAAGGGGGCGGGGGGGGGGGGCGTCTGAATTGAGCGATCAATTATTAGACCCGGACGTCCCAACACTTGCTTCGCAAGACAAACTCAAGGTATCCCCTAAAGGGCTACCTTTCGTGAATTGTCAGGGCGGATGGGCGAGTCCTTTTGGGAGCACTGAGGATTTCCTCTCTCCTGACCACTCAGGTGTCTGCAGTCGTCATCCACAATTGCTTGTTTCTGATCTAGGTTAGGAATGTTTTGTTGTTATTCTTCGTTCGACCGTCAAGTGTTTGGATTGCAGATACCTACACTTGTAGGTATGTACACACGACAAGTTTCACATGTTGAAACACTATTCGGTACATTTTGTGAATGATGGCAGTCAAACAGTAGTGTCTTTGGAATGTTGTGCGCCATACCCCATTTACAATGTTTAGGTGACTCCGATGTCTTCAGTTGCTGTCAGCTGTCGCAGGTTCTGGGTCCTGTGGTGGGGTATTGGCCTGCTGCTCTCACTATCCCCAGGTGGCTCTAAGAGACTGTCGTCCGAAAAGGACAAGCTGTGACCTCTTTCCTTAAGCCCTGCTATGTTTGCGCTTGTCACAGGTGGAGTGTCGTTGACATCATCCCTTGCACCCTGGGTTGCTGTTCCCGTCCGTTCCAAAGCCGTCCGTCTTCGTACTCCCGTGTGCCCAGTGAATCCCGTGTGCCCAGTGGATTAGCTGGAGCAAAACCTAGAACGGCTTTGGACTAGGGTAAGTCGCACCAACGATAGGGTGGACCGACTCTACAACCACCGCAAGGTTTTCTCAATCCATGCCACATCCCTCGAAGCGGCATGGGTGGCTCTGGGCGGGGAAGCCAACGGGGCGCGGCTGGCTCAAACAGGTGGGGAAGGTTGGGTGTGGCAGGTGGTGGGGGCGCTGGGGGTGCCATGGCCGTTGACTTTGGATCAACCAGCCCGCGAGGCGCAGATCCAGCGAAAACCTGCGAGGGCGATATGGAGTGCCCGCTGGGCACTTAAGGAGGAGGTGGGGGCGGCCAACCTGGTCCGAGCGGACCCCGAATAAGAGTGGGGAAGGCCAGGCACACATCGACAACGAAAACAGAACCAATCCACGCTCACCTTCAGCCTCGGTGAAGGTGGACATCGTATCGAAAAACACGTCAGTGGTGCGCGTAACCAAGGATCTCAGCTTGGAGGGCCAAAGCCCGCGCAAAAAAAAACGCCAACGGGCATGGGCGAGGGCACAGGCTGCAGAGGGGGAAGCAGGTGCGGCAGGAGGAGGGGCACCGGCCAGGGGCAAAGGTGCGGAGGCAAGGGCCGAGGAGGCAAGGGTGGCAAAGGGCGTGGGAAGGGCCGTGGGAGGGCCCGAGGTGCTGCCTAAGGTCCGCCGTCGGTGGGGGCGCTCACCCCGCCAACCACATATGGTGAGCAGTTTTGGTGCGCGGCCTGGGTGGTACCTACCTAAGCTGCGCCCCTCGTTGTCCCCCCGTTAAAGCAGTACAGTGAACCTGAAGGCATACGTTCAATTGGCTCTAGTTTGGCTTTATATGTTATGTTCCCCCTCTTTTGAGGAATAGCGCCGGACCGGGGCGCCCATAGAGTGTTGACACATGTTTGCACTATCGGTGTCGACCTTAGTTGCTGGGCTACCTTCCCCGATCTCGTTCGTTAAGTTTCGAATGGCATGCCATGCCATGCTGGGAGATTGTGAATTTAAGTTTTGCTGTCTGAGGCCAGGCAGAGTGGGTGTCCAACAGGTGGTCAGCATCTGGTGCACAAGCACGGTCCTATCCTCCCCAAGAGCACTTTCAGCTCCCGGCCGTAAGTCTTTTGGCGCCCGTGGTCTGCATGGCACACACTTCCGCCTTGTCTGGGTTTGAGACCACAAATTTGGGTCTAGCAGCTCTTTGAAAGGTGAAATGCTCTTTGGTTGGGCAGCGCGAACTGCCGCCGTGGGTTCCACGGGCTTTTGGTTGCTGGAAGGAGCCGACCAAAAAAGAACCATACCACAAGGGACCAGGACCAGGAACTTCCGCTGAAAACCGAGGGCGCTCGGAGGAAAAAGTTGAACATTGTCCCGCAGGAAGCAGCGAATGAAGTTGTTGTTCCTTCATGTCAACCAGTTTCATTGGTGGACACGGAGTCCGTCCGAAAAACACGCGTTCCTTGCACGCAAACATTGCGCCATTGTTGTTCAAGAAAATGCTGAAAATCATCGCCGTTCCATCTTTGGTGAGGCATGACAAAAGAATGCATGCACACGACAGGGCGTCTATGTAGTGAGTTGCTAAATTTGGAGGAATGACATTTGTCAATTTGGCGCGGAGGGAACCCTGACAAAAAATGCTGGTCAATGAACAGATTGCGAGTGCTGAATTCCCACGAACGCAACGTCGGAACTTCGTGTAGAATGTTTGCCACAGTGCGTCAAAAGGCGCCGCCCACTTTCGTCTCAGTGGCCCCAGCAGCGTCAAAGGACAAAAGAAAAGGGAAAAAAATAGTTTCCCATCGCAAAAAATGTTTGGTTTCAAGCAGGTATCCAAAGTGAACAGCCTAAGACTTTGACCCCAGAACCTCTTAACTCATGCTTTGCACTCTGACACTTGCAGGGGTCAGCGAGACAGTCTGTCTCGAGTGCCTCAAATGGTCCCCAATACGAAAAAAAATTGTGTTGAAAATTGAACCGCAAAACAGTAACAAACACGATTGTGCCCACCAGGCGCATTCCAACTTTCAAAGATGCGAAATGAACGAACGATTGCACTTCGAACAAATTAGATTTCAGAAATAGAATAAGGTTTGATTACTTTCGAACTAACTTCACAAATGTAGTTTAGCAGTAAGTTTTTCGTGCAAACAATCACATCACAATGTTGGAAAACAAATGTACCAACAAAGAGGAATGGAATTGCTCTGAAAGTTGACTAGGGATCAAAAGCCGTTGGTGTAATACATGTTGAAACCAATGATGAGTAATGAAAATGATGTTGTTTAGTGATGCTTCAGGTAAAATGAAACAACAAACTCAAGATGGCATTTAGACCAACGGCTAACACAAAACATGTAGTCAAAACAACCAGTGGTATCAACAATGCGCCACCGACTTGATTCGAGCAACACGAACACAAACAGCAAAAATGTTGTAGCGTGGAATATGCGAAGTGCGAAATGTTTTTCATGGCTTGGGCCTAGATGTAAAGGGTACACTTCTTGATTTGTGTTCAGTGTCTTTTGGCAGCACGTTTTTTTTCGACCCACGCACTGCGGAAGCGGAGTAGTTTCAACAAGTGAACACAGGGCACCTGAACTCAACTGCTTTAACATCTATATGCACGCACACGAGTGTAAAAGGTTAAGACTCCGCCTTGGAGAAAGATGTTCAAGTCCATTCTCCACACTGAACGTGAAAAACCCACTACCTTAAGTAAGTAGATTACAAACGCTCTACACACAACACAAAAGCACGCGCAACAGCTCACAATCAAAGCAAAAAGCACTCGCACCACTTGCCCGCGCACCTTGAGCCAAAGTCACGCACAAAAGGCCATGAGGTATTCCTATTGCAAGAAATTCCCATGCGAGACACTGTAAGTGTTGAGTTTAAACGCATTCAAAAATGCACAAAACTGGTCAAGAAAAATTCACATTACAAAAGCTACAAAAGTTTCTCTTCACAACGCTTCCAAACATTGTACTTTCCAAGACACTTCGAAACACAAAGTTCCGTAAGGAACATTTGCTCAAACACCCGAAATGCAAAACCATGCACGCCAAAAACAAAAACCTCACAGCTGCGGCATTAGCCTGCACCTGCGCTACACCACACATTTTCACACCCCCTCTCAAGGTGAGGCTCATTCACTCTGGGCATCACTCTTCTCAGCTTTCCAGCACTTCATGGCAACGATCTTTTCGCAAGCTTTGCACAATTGAAGGAGACGAGTGCTTTCCCTCGCACATGATGGCAAAGTGGCCTGCAACGCACCACAGTTCCAGCGATCTGAAACCAATCTTTCCAGGAACGTGTGGCTTCGACTGAAACTGACTCAAGAATCCTGCCGATGGTGGCTCACGGATCGCTTCCAGGTGAACTCTTCTCACCATGGAATCTCCAAAAATTGTGGTCCACAGGCGGCGCTGCAAGGTGCAGAGTGGGATGATGGGCATGGTGGTTTTG